GTTTTGGAACCACAGAACAAACCAGGCCTATGTACCGTTAGTTCAGTTGACAAGACCTACTTGTCCACGGAGCAGGCGACTCGAAGCTTGAATCCAGTCTGTGTAGAGAGCTTTCAAAAAAGTCAAAGGGACCTACGCGAGGTGGCAATCACTTAAGATGCTCCACTTTTTAACATCAGCCACACAAGCAACAACAACAACAACAACAACAACAATAACAACAACAACAACATCATCATCATCATCATCATTATCATCATCATAATCAACAACAAGAACAAGAAGAACAACAAAAACACCATTATCTACATTAGCATGATAACTGATGAGGTACATTAATTTGTTTTTATGATAAAGAAATACTGTCTGTCCGGATTTCCTGAATGAAATATAATAAAAGGTCATCTTACCTTTATGAAGCATAATCGTGTCTGGTGTCTATTGACAAAGTAGGGCTCCCTTTCGACATTCAGCAATAATATTAATATTTCAGCAAACAGAAGCTTAAGACAAGACAAACCTGTTTGATATTCTAAAGCGTTTTTCGCTTTTAGACAGAAACGCCAGTGTAATGCGATATTCTGCTCACGCAATTATTTAGGGACATTCATCTCCCTTTTTGGGAAATGTTTCATGACAGATTGTTAAAAAAAGCTGTTGCTTTGTTAAATGATTTTCCGAGTTCTATTCTCCGGGGAATGCTATTTTTGCTGTTTTATAATGATGCAGAAGGGAAGTCGGAAAACTGGACATGAATTCCCATTCCATCTCATCGTTGTTGGATAAAATATTATGGAAGTGTTTGTTGTTCATTATATAAAGAAATTTGATAGTCTTGCCCTTCCAAACTTGTAGGATTTGGCTTCTGTAGAGTTGTGTACCTTCAAAACGAGTTCGTATCTTCAGTGTTTCTATTCTGAATAATATAAACACCCTACACGACGCACATACCTTACTTAGAAAAACAAATAAACAGGCCCAGTGGTTGCGGTAAAGTAAAGAAAAAGGAAGAGGGAAGGAATGATTGTATCCAATAAATTATATATATTATATATTCTATTTTATTGCGCACTTCAGTCGGTGCACTTTAATCTGTGTCTGTGGGCGTTATTCCTTCTTTAGAAAA